AAAAAAAATCGAACGAAAAAATCGAGATATGAAAATTAATCATCCTTCTGTGTGATATCCAGTTGTAAGAAGTTTTCGTGAACCAAAGTCATCTTTAGATTTTTATTATTACAAAAGAAAAGGACCAAGTTGCAAACAAGTTACAATATTTAACCTTGCCGGCGTTCGTCACAAGCAAATGGTTTTAGTCGATTTCTTGAATACAACCAGTATTTTATCAGTTTGGCTAACACGATCACTTTGTTTACGAAGTGACATCATTTGTTGAAGCAGTCTTGTGTGTAAAGGTTATCACAACAATGGGTAGACCTGTTTTAACTGGTAGATATTGACACAAATCAACAACTGTATAGCAAAACAAGTTCAGTTAATTTAACACACTCTAAAAATCAAATTAACAGAACCATCTGTTGATCTTTAGATTGAGCAAATCCGTTAAACTTATCTACACAGTATTCAATGTTTTTTTATACTGACCAACAAATAAAAGTTTCCATACTCCGGACGAATTGTTTTGTTTCCCATTTCCTACCAGTAAAATCAAGGGTCGGAAAATTGATATATTGTTTTGATTCACTCCTAAAAATACCAAGTGAAAGTAAAAGTCGTTTTCAAGTCAACTTAGAAACTGTTATATACGTACCTTCAATTGAAGTTGACATACATGTTTCCTCTGCAGAAATACCTGTGTAAATGTATGTTGCTAGAACGCCAAAGAGCGAAAACTTAATGCGAATCTCGTTTTGATATCAGTGGTTTTAAGCTCACTGAGAAATTTACCGACAGCAACATGTTGAAAAAACTGTGTTTGTTTGCTTTACAGCCGGTAAACACTCACCAAAGATGGCTGCCAATCAGCGATCGTTTCTCCCCAGGGAGCCGTCATGTTTGGCGCGAACGATAGGCCGGCGTCTTCCCGCCTTTTTTCTGCGGTGTTTGTGTTGTTTAAACACCAGCTTGTGGTCGTTTGTTGGGACATTCTGCTTTGTTTAGGTAACCTTTGCATTATTAACGAGCACTGGAAGCAAAATTTGGAGAGAGAGGGACGGTTTTTGCAAGGGATAAATGTGAATTTAACGGCGGCTTGAGGTTAGTAGCGGACAAGAAGTTTGCTCAATTGTTATTAAGTACAGCATAGCCAGCGAAGCTATATATGTTTTGCACAAAACCCACAATCCTAATTCAGCCTCTACTGCATTTTTTTTTTTTCGTAATTGAAAAAATGGCGATATAATAAAATAAGAGGAGGTGATCAGCAATATTTTTTACCGCCACGTTGAGCAAGGATATTTTTTCTTACTTCTTTTTCAAATGTGAATTGTTTGGTCCCGGGAAAGTTGATCTCGGTGGAAAACCCCCAAGAGGTGTCAAGAACACAATCGAAGTTTCACGCTCGGTAAATTATTCACATGACCTGTGATTTTGGGAAACAAAATGACATAATCAAATGCAAATGCGATGTTGTAATGACGACTGACCTAGGAAATCTGCAATCTGTTCCAGAATCGCTTGCGATTACAAAACTAAGTCGAATTACTTACCGAATTTCCCTAGAAAAGCGAAAAGACAAAATTCGCTCATGTGGTAAAACAGGGAAAAGCACATGTATTTTTAGCACGAGAGCTGTGCCTCAGGATTTAAAACCCGTATCAAGCTTGAATTGTCAAACGGGTAAGTGTCAGGACTTTTCCTATATTTTACTTCTTGGTACGCCGTATCTCATGGAAGGTTGATATCATATAACTCTATATAGATAAGTTGAATATACCAATTAATGCATCTTTGCTCGAAATATTGCTCGATTCTGCATTTGTTTAAACCACTGTTGGAGTATGCAAAATAGTTTTCTTAAGTGTGGTAAGGTCAACTTAGTTTGCTGTGTACTTAGCCGTGCATCTTGGCGGGTATAAGTATTAAATTTCAGTTTTTAAAATTTAGAAATAAGGTAAACTTGGATATAAAGTT